TTATACTACATTACAGAAAATGAAAAACCGCAAATTTTGTGTCACTGATTAAAATAACCCCATCAAATCTAAACTAGCGATGACTAATACAATACTGTGTTTCTTGTCATAAATCTATTACCTATATCAGACATACTACTACCTCTTTGAGTAGACGCCTCACGTGTCACTTATCAGAGCAAAGTGCAATAATAAACATCTGTCAACCCACAATCTACAAGAAACCTAAAGAAAAATTCTGGACGAAATCATTAAAATTTTATGTAAATCAAATTACGATGTAAAATTCCATATAAATAACCGTGTAAAATTCTATGTAAATCAAACATCTCGCTATATATATATACATATATATGTGCATGTGTGTGTGTCTGCATGTGTGTGCATGGGTGTGTGCGTGTGTGTATGTGTGTGTGTGCTTCTAATATCTCCCTCTACCCCTACTATCAGCAACACCTTGTTTTACAATGGAAGAGGTGTGCTAAATGTTTTTTTTCTTTTTTTTTTCTTTTTTTAAATAGAAAAATGCTCACTCGAATTCCAGCCGTGCTCAACACGCGAAGGCTCAGAAAAAACGTTCCTACTAGAATTATAAACCACATATATATATATGGGAAGATTTTTCTACGAATAATTAGCACCAAGCTGTATATATATATATATATATATATATATATATATATATATATATATATATATATATATATTTACAATGAATTATTCATACAAAAAGTAGATTAGTAAATTTAATGATAGAAAATGGCGAAATCCTTTCGCAAACAAAATTTTAAAGGTGCATTAACCTACAAATCACTCGATGAATGTTATGATCCTTGTTTGTAAAATAATTATAAACTGTATAAGGTATTTTGCAAGTACTTTCAACTGTACATTCAGTCATACTCAAGCATGGAAATTGTTTTGTTTTTGGTAAAATTCTGGTTGCATCTGAAACAAAAAATTAAATGTGAATCGAAATATGTTTTTTTTTTAAATGTGTTATTGCTAACGGATATAAACTTTTTGAGCGGGCAGTCGCTACGCTTAGGTTGATTTTTTTTTTTAAATTTAAGAGGATACGTTTTACAAAAAAAAACGGACTCACTTAAATTTTCGAAAAAATTCAACGTTGCGACTGCCCGCTTAAAAAGTTTGTATCCGTTAGCAATAACACATTTAAAAAAAAACATATTTCGATTCACATTTAATTTTTCTTCTCGGATGTTACCTGAATTTTACCGAAAACAATATATATATATATATATATATATATATATATATATATATATATCCCACATGTACTGCTGGTATTAATAAAACAGTCCTTGATGAAATACAACAGAGCTATTAAGTACATATTAATAATTATACATATTATCCCTCGCCGATAGCAGGAGTCCCATGCACATCGCAATCTTCAGGTGCTGAGTATACACTGGCCGTTACGTAAACATTTTCGTTTGACGTGCCTTATTCTGTAAAACTTCATCGGACTTAAGTGATTTACACATGTGCATGAAAGAGAGAAGACGCTGAAATATTTAATTTAAATTGAATTTTTTAATTTATTTTTAAAAGACAAAACCCGTCATGCGAAAAGTTGATCTATTTTGCCATAGGTTTTCCCGAAATTGTTCTTGATATATAAAAATGTATATATCATTCCTCCAATATATATATATATATATATATATATATACAAAAACTACATCCGAAAATATCTTGGTTATATACATATCCTTGTGCGCATGCTCGTGGGTGGGTGCATATCAACCAATAAATGATCATGACAACTTCCATATTCGCCAACAAAAATTGGCAAGATTTTTTTTTTTTTTATAAAACTCTTATAAATAGGGTCAAACATGCAGTTTCCATAACAACTGTGCGAGGTAATTCGCTGGTTGGTTGTCCAGAAAGGTGGGTGGATTATCACACATCGTGAGTAAGAGAGGTGGGTGGTTCTGCATTCTGTTTATACAACACAGGCCTGTAGTTTCTTGATGGCGAGATCAACAAAACGTGATGTCCAATAGAATTCAACTGCATAAAGGACAATAGATTCGAATGTGTACACTGAAGGTCATGTTGGTCAATTCTTTTTTTCCGACTAAGCAAATAACTGCTTCTTTTTTTCGTGACCAGGCAGATAAAGAAAAGAGGACACCAGTTTTGAGCTGAAGCTTTTCCCCTTTGGTAAAGCAATCAGAAACAGTGTTTGTTTGTCAAATGCGTTTCAGTGATCTATACATACCTATATATATATATATATATATATATATATATATATATATATATATATATATATATATATATACAAATGCTGAAAAGGATAAAGAAATATGGGAAGAGGGCGGATAGATTGGTGAGCAACTTATGGTGTCGCAAAGTGGAAAATAGAATGAAACCTCCTTGCTGGCTAAATTATATATTTATTTCGCTTCATCGAAACTAAGCGCTTTTAAAAACTAGGATTTGAAATGTAGATTTTAAAAGGCAGATCTTCTTCCTTGACAGTAAATATAACACGGCCTCCCTTTTACTATTACAAATGACATTTTTTTGTCATTTTAGATCAGAGATATTTTTTTAAATTTTGGTTTGGTTGTTTTTGTTTGGTGGCATATCAACACCTCTATGGGTTATTTAGTCCCGAAATCTAAATATTTTTTACGCATTTTTAATTTTGGCTGGTAATAATAATGGTTTAGTGATACAACTTTTACTAATTAACCCATAGATGGGGGAGAAGAGGTGGATTCATACCTTTCCTAAAAGTATTTGTGTATAAATGAATATAATGCACCTGACTGGAATAGAACTCGGCTCTCCGATTAACAATTCCAAGCCATTATCCATTATACCACCCACACATCCAAGATTACATCACCTGGTATTCCCATTACCTCATCTAGGTACTGACCAGGCTTGATGTTGCTTAATCGTTCCAGAACCACGATTTCAAGAATTTTGTTTACCTACAATTTATATATAAAAAGAATAAACGTCTGTAGTAGAACCCAAGTTTTTCTTGCTTTTTCTTTGTTTACATGTGAACACGGACCTCACCTATCAGGCACCAAACACTCAACCTTTAAATTCCATAACGCCTTCTTCTAGCCATGTCATATGACGGAATAAAAAATATTGATTTTTTATCATTTTAGATCAGGGATCGATTTGAGACAGTATTTATATTATGAACAGGACCCCCACTTTTAAAATGATAAAAAAATATCAATATATTGTGGATAGAAGATAGAATGCTAATCTACAAAAATTGTTCAGAAAGAAGTTCTTTTTTTCACAAGAGAGTTACTTCATTTGAATAAGGTGACAATAAGAAAATTTTAAAGTCAGCATTTTTAAAGATTGCATTATTTTTAATTATTTTTCACCCAATATAAGGCTCAAGAGTAACTCAGAGCAGAGAGTTATTAAACAAAGTTGTTTTAGTGCCGTATAGCGAGGGAAAAAGTAGTGAATATTATAAGGATATAGGAAAAATAATGACTGACCGTCAGCTTGAAGAGGTTAAATTTGTAGTGATCGGGGATTCATATTGTGACGATATGGAGGAAAAATAACACTAGTGAACAAAAAAAAATATTTGAAATGGTGTCGAGACACCAAACATTTTTTTTAGCTAATTTGAAGGCGCTGAATCTGAAAATGACATTTTGTCTTGGTTAGCTTTTTTTTTTCTTTTTGCTGTACAGAAATGCCTCATTTTTGGAAAAGAAGCATTTTTTTATTTGTTTTCTGTATATATGATATTGACCGATGGCAATATTTCTCAAAACAAAATCGTAGAAACCTCTCCATTCGTATTTAAACCAACAAATATTGGTCTGCTTATTCAGAAATAGTATTTTTGCAATAACAATCAGACCCAGAGTCTTTAAAAATAACACGATTGGATATACCAAGACCAATAAGTATTTTCATCAAATCATTTAATAAGCTAACAGCAGAAATAAAACCTTCGTGAACATAAGAACTATGGTAAATATTTTCTCTTTCTTGATTGTCTGTCATGTTCAATGTTATTTAAGTCCCTTTTGATATTCCATCAGTATCATGTACAATGAAATAGGTGCATTCAATTGAGATGTCTTTAGTTGGAGTTTCTTTCCAACTGTGAAAACAAAATGCTCTCAATATGCTTGGTTTCCTTCCGTAGTGAAGGGATAAAAGTGATGGGATAAATTTATGAATATCAAACAGAAGATTTTACGGTTTCATTTTTTTGATGTCACCTTAATTATCAGGTTTACTAAAATGTATTACTGATAAAGTTTATCAGTTAATTTGGATTTTATCGATAAATTGGGAAAATTCGGTACTTCTATTTTTAGATTTTTGACTCAAAAAACACTTTTTTTCTTATAAAAATAGTTTATTTCAGGTTGGCTGACATAAATTGCTCGACCTACCTGAAAATTGATGAGGTTCTACGACCTTTATTAACTAAATTTTTCGATTAGCCAAGATTATAAATTGATCTTTTTTTCCAAAAATAAGCAATTTCAGTACAGCAAGAACGGTAGCTAACCATGAAAAACTAAGGTCACTTTCGGAATCTGCACCATCAAATTAGCTAAAAAACGTGTTTTGTTTCTTAGCACCAAAAATTGTGTTGACCAGTGTTATAGGTTTATTTCTATTCTCCGAGATCAAGCGCATTTAAAATCTAGGACTTGGAATCTAGATTTTAAAAGATAGATATTCTTCCTTGACAATAATATAACATGGCCTCCCTCTTAGAATTCTACCATTTGGCCTTTGTGACTCACGAAGCTAAGATTTAGTATGTAACAAAAGCAATAAGTTTGTCTAGTATTTAAGGTAGATACTCAATTTCTGTGCGGGCTAAAGGTCAATGTTTTCTGTCATTATTACGAATATAGAGTTTTAAGATTGGCAGGCGGTTCCTACTTGGAAGATTAACACAACGGAATCTGCCAAATAATACTGGCCTTGTGTCAGTGTGACTAAAGTAAATCTATCTTTGTTTCTATATTATTTTTCGTGGGCTGTCTCTTCTTTCTTTCTTTCTTTCTTTTCTTTTCTCTCTCTTTCTTCCTTTCACTCTTTCTTTTTCTCTCTTCTTTTCTTTCGCTTTTTCTCTATTTCTTTTCTTTCTTTCAGTTTCTTTATCTTTTCTCTCTCTCACTATTTCCCTTTGCTTTCTGTCGCTTCCTTTCTCTCTTCGATCTTTGAACCCCTTCTTTCTAATTATTCCTCTCTTTCTCGATTTCTTTCTCTCTTAGTCTTTTTCTTTCTTTCCTTCCCATCTTTTTCTTTCTCTCTCTCTCTCTCACTTTCATTCTTTTTTCTCTCTTTCTTTTCCTGTTTTCCTTTTCTGTCTCTCTCTCTCTCTCTCTCTCTCTCTCTCTCTCTCTCTAAACCTCTCGCTCCTTTAGAATGGTGGTAACTTAATCTCACAGTCCAGTCTTTTGCATAATTAATTCAATCCTTACTAGATATTTCCTTATGAAGACATCATGACCAGGTCTGTCTATCTATCTATCTATCTATCTATCTATCTATCTCAGTCTTTTCATATTTACCTCAGTCTGTTCATATCTATCTATCTATCTATCTATCTATCTATCTATCTATCTATCTCAGTCTGTTCTATTTCTTCTTCATATCTATCTATCTATCTATCTCAATCTATTCATATCTATCTATCTATCTATCTATCTATCTATCTATCTATCTATCTATCTATCTCAGTCTGTTCATATTTACCTCAGTCTGTTCATATCTATCTATCTATCTATCTATCTATCTATCTATCTATCTATCTATCTCTGTCCTTATCTATCTCAATCTATTCATATCTATCTATCTATCTATCTATCTATCTATCTATCTCATCTATTCATATTTACCTCAGTCTATTCATATCTATCTATCTATCTATCTATCTATCTATCTATCTCTGTCAATCTATCTCAATCTATTCATATCTATCTATCTATCTATCTATCTATCTATCTATCTCACTCTCACTTTCCCTTTTGGTGACACCTCAGACACTTTGCAGTAAACCCAGCCTCCTCCCGAGGGAGGATATTGCCTCGGGGAAAGCTGCCTGGGGCTTGGGCTACCATTCAAAGAATACAAACCCCAGCCAAGGTTAGGATTTGTAGTATTTACCAGGGCGCCGACATCCTAACCGGATGTAACACGGGTTTAGAGTGACTTTAACGGCCATAGCGCGCAAAAATTCCCAAACCTCCTCGGCACTTTCCCTTATGAAGGACAGCTTTTCAGGCACTGAGCAGTAAACCCTGCCCCTTCCCGAGGTAGAGGTACTGCCTCAGGGAAGGGTAGCTTGGGCTTGTGCCTGGGTTAATATTCAAACCCCAGCCAAATGTTAGGATTTGTTTAGCCTCCATCTGTATCGACTGTTATTAATAAGGTAAGGCTTTGCATACGAATGCAGCAAAAATGATCTTTATTTATATTGATTTTGTCATCAATTCTGGAGGAATCTATATTTTTAATGCCTACAATACTAGTAAGAGACATTACTCCAACTCCCACCCGTTACCTTCGAAGTCATGTTTGTTAACTAGTAACAAAACATTGCAATATAAGTTCTGGTAAAAAAATTCAATAATAATAACAAAAGTTGCAATATGAGCTCTGGTAAAAATGTTTGCTGAGACATTAGGTTTATAAATCTCAAAAATTCATGTACATATGTCATCAAGGACACATAGCCCAGTGGATAGAGACGTTGGTTAGATCTCGTTACTAGACATGAACAACCTAACCTCTACGAAAGTTATCAGGTCAAACCAATATAGCTCTACATTTATCAGTAACAATTACTATTGTGAAATCAATTCTAACTATTCGTCCCACTCTCAGCATATTTTTCTTTGATATTTAATTAAAAGATTAAAGATTAGTTATTTTCTTGCCTTTAGCCAATTCTCTTAATTTTCCGGATTTTATCTCTCTGCTTATCTTGCCAATCAATCGACTTTTCTTGTTCAAAAGCATTTAAATTTTTTTAAAATATTTTTTATAAAAATTTAAAGCCAGTTTTTCTTCGTTTTCTTAACAGTGTTTTCAATTTAAATTTTTATTTTTATTTTTTTATTTCTTTGATCCCTCTTCCAATTTTCAATGTTAGGTTTCCATTACTTAGTAACTTTACAAAATCACGTTTCATTTGGCATCTTTATATATTTGAAAATAAAAAATAAATATTAATAACTATAAATATTATTTTATGATATAACAATAATATTTGACACTATTAACTAATAGGGGATATTTTTAATAAAAGCAGATATATCTAAAATTCATGATATTTTTATGATATATAAGGAATGACCTATTTTATTATGAAAACAATAATTTACATGATAATTTTTTTTGAGTGTGGTGTATTTCAAGCCGAAACACGTTTTCTGGTATTGAACATATATATATGAATATACATTATTTTTTTTGCGAATTAATATTTTTTTTGACTTTTTTTGAGATAACAATAGTTTTCTCAAGCTCTACTATTTAACCCATAACTGTAGGAGAAGTGTATTTGCGCGTTAGTAAATGTAATGAACTCGACTGGAATTCGAACTCGGCTTTCTGATTTCCCATTCCGAGCCATTACACCAATGGCACCCCCCGCCCCACATTCGATAAAAAATATATTATACAAATAATATGTGGGTTGGTACGAAAATATATTCTAGTTTTAAAAACAGACATTTTAAAAGAGTATATATTCACATAATATAGACAAAGAAGTTTTTAAAAAGTGGGAGGAAGAAAGTCAATCAGTTAAGTGCCATCACGTGATACACGCTTTAGTGATCATATCGCTTTCGAGTCATGACCGACTAGGCAGATGATTTTCCCTAAGTAGGCTGCCGTTTCTTTCTGCAGTAGACTGGTTACCAAACAAGGCGATATGGCTCAATCTGCCCTACTATTTAACCCATAGCTGGGGGAAGGAATTGAATTCATACTTTTTCTAAGGGTATTTGCGCGTAAGTGAATGTAACGAATCAGACTGGAATTAGAACTCGGCGCACCGATTTCTTATAACGAGTCGATATGCATTATACATCACACAGCACAGGGAGAGCGTATAAAATACGCCCATGGACAAAATTATGGGGAAGGTGTAGAAAAGTTAGAGATATGGTTGAAACTCGTACATATGTTAGCTGAATGCACTATAATAAGCATTCTTAAAATGATGTTTCACTGGCATTTATGGATAACAATATTGATTTTTATGTTCATTTTTACTTATTTAATATAAGTGGCAAAGTCATTTGTTTAAAATTTAATCTGTAGCGCTAAAATTTAATCTGTAGCGCTAAATCTTTTCTAATTTTTTTTTTAGTATCAAACTTAGTATCAATTTGTAAGTGCTTCTCCTTTGTTGAAAATGTCTCCGAAGAAAAACACACCTGGAAAAAAAAGGGCTGAAATCATTGTATTGTTCAAAGAAGGGTTATCCCAAGTCAAAATTGCAAGAAAAGTGGCATGCTCAAGAAATGGGATACAAACAACCATTGAAAGATATAACGAAGCCAATTCTTTCAAAAATCAAATCACATTTGAAAATCCAACTTCAGCAGATCCATCAAGGTACGATTGTTCCTAGCTACAGTAGAGTCTATACTGCTCTATGGTTTATGAATCGTCATCAAAACAAAAAAAATCCTCTCTCAACTGAACCTACACACGAATACTGAAAATGGCTCTGAATGCATCTTAGAGGGAGCATATCACCAATGCAGATTGGTATGGCCTTTTCCACAGGGTCACAACAGAAACTTGCTGGACAATGGATTCGCTATCCGAATAAGGAAGCATCAGCACTTGTACTGTAGTAACCTTAGGATGGGACACAACACCGAAGAAGACAGGTCCACTCTTTTTATTGATTTCCTGTACAATGGCACTGGACTGCAGTCTGTTGATGAACTCACACCTGCAATGCAAACTCGACAATATTGGAGAAAAACTGTCTACTCGGTTTGAACTTGAGTCAAACCTAACTACTTATTTGTTTTTTTGTTTTGTTTTGGTTTTCTTTTAGTTGTTCTTTCTTTTCCTTGCGTTTTTCGACTCACCCTTTTTTTTTTTTTTTTTGCTTATCGTCGCTCTGCTTTCACCGATCTAAATAAATAAACAGCAAATTCTGTCTGTTCATTCGTGTGTTTGAAACCTCTCTAACTCGAACCACACTTGCTCTACACAGACGTATTATAGCTTTTTGGAATCAGGATGATCCCGGAATTCAAAATCTGGTGCTTGAACATCAAGCATTGGGATTTGTGTTCGGATGAGGAGGGAAGAGTTAAAAATTCAAATTTTAAAATAACTGATAAAAATTAGTGATTTTAAAAGTTTTGATTTATATTGAGTTTAAAGTAACACAAAAACTTTGTGAATTTAAAAATGTCTGTTTTGAATTCAGTTTACAATATCTCCAAAATTTTGTATCTCCAATTTATAATTCGGGTACTTGGCTCTTCCTTTTTCTGAAAACCATACACCCTTGTACAAATTAATTGAAACAACCGCATTAATTTCTTTTCTTTCACAATATAGTCAGTTTTAGGCCCACTTGAGTAACAGGGTGTAATCGATTTCTATTTCTTTTCCACAGATTAGTTGATTTGCAGTGGCGTGCAGGTATATGAATCTATTTTCGGCGTATGTGATAAAATTTGTTTGGCCTTGAAAAATATTGCGTCATCCATGATTGCATCAGATTTTTATCACGCTAAGACACTATTGTCCCGACTGTCGATTAGTTGTCCTACGGCCATTGTCTGCAATGGACATTGCTCCAAGGCAGCGTACGAAAATTGTAACTCTGCACGCACACACTAGCAAGCCTTACCAGTGAGCAAATCAAATATTATAGATTGGCCGGAAACTCTACAAAATTAAAACCAATCGAGAATCTGCAACGGCTTCATGGAATGGACACACAAAATACTAACATATGTACTGGTTCATGTTTTACTGAAAAAATATGAAAAAAGTAAATAATAATAACGGAATTATTCGTTTTGTTTCAATTAATTTGCATAAGGCTGTATATTCTATGATTGACGTTTAGTCCTTTCTTCTCGCCCTCCTTTCCTACCTTCTGTAGGAGTTTCTGTAGTTTTCTCTCTGTGTCTGCTATCACCACTTTAAAAAAATATCTGTTTTTAAATCCATAGTATATTTTATAAAGTTTTTTTTTTTTTTAAATACAATAATATCACGTTGACTGGATCTTTCAGTAATTTTCGAATTCGAATTGCAGAAAAGTATTTTCAAAAATCACGACATATCGATATGTCACGCATGGCGCCAAATTCGTTCAGAAAAATATACACACAGGGTGGCAATAAAATCACTATACAGTTACTTAAAATAAGAATTAAGACTAAGCAATTAATCAACATTCCAGAAATTTATTATTAAAATGGTTCTGATTAATTCTGGTTAATAACAATAAAATGCAATAGTAAACAATATTAACAAGCCAAAAGTTTCTTGGTAAAGTCGACTTATGCACGAGTGTGTAAGGCATTTTTTATTGTTGTATTTCTTTTCTTACAGATAACCTCGCTTCAGGCGTTAGCACAAAGGAAAATATTGCCTGTTATGGAAACTACCATAACTTTGTGGAACTTGAATGTGCAGATGCACAGGTGATTATCAACGTGACTCGGGTGTTACTTGGTGCCAAACCGGCCGTGAAAAATTGTCCAATGACGACTAACACAGACAACTATAGGGAAGAGTGTTGTCGACAAGAAAGCGGAGATTGCATGATCGCCACAAGCAGCCAGGTAGCTAGTCGGTGCCTTGGTCTTAATTCTTGTAAAATCCAAACCATCTGGACGTTGCTGAACGATGTTTGCCAGCCAAATACCTACCCCCGATTCACCAACTTTATGAACGTGCGATATCAGTGTGGAAAACGCAAAGATAAACGTAAGCTTTATTTATTTGTTTGTTTATTTTGTTTTACGGCATATCAACCTCAATAGGTTATTTAATGCCGACAAGATTTTTATTGCTGATAATATTTAGTAATATTTTTTTCAAAAATATATTCTTGGCAATATTTTTTTTCAAAAATGTATTGCTGGTAATATTCTTTTTTAAATTTATTGCTGGTAATATTTTTTTTCAAAAATATATTGTTGGTAGAAATTTTTCAAAAATGTTTTGCTTCTAAATTTTTTTTTTTTTTCAAAAATATGCAAGTGGTAATATTTTTTTTTTCAAAAATGTATTGCTGGCAATTTTTTTTTTTTTTCAAAAATGTATTGCTGGTAACATTTTTTTTCAAAAATATGTTACTGGTAATTTTTTTTAAATGTATTGCTGATAAAAAAATTTTCCAAAACTGCATTGCGGATATTAATACCTATTTTTATGCTTTCATAGAGTTTTGACACCAGTTTGGGGGGGGGGAACTATTTGCCCATAGTTGGGTCCCTAACAGGTGCTACCACCCAGGGTTAGGGTGAACCTGGGAACACCAACAATTAAGAGGTGGTTCCACGCTTCTCAAAACCTCCTGATCAGAGGCCTTGCTGCCGGATGTAGTTTATCGTCTTACCCAGGACGGAGTTTTATTTGTATTCGTTTAACATTACACACTGCCAAACAAGTCACTTGTGAGCAATTCTCTTATCTATTTCTTTATCTTTAATTTATTGTTATCGCAATTTGTCCCGTCGATCTACGGCAGTGAGTAGACTGCGATGATCGGAATTAAATGAGAGGCTCTGGATAAGATTCGAGCTAAAGTAAAAACAAAAATGGGAGATGTCATGGAATTGAGGTATTTAACTTACAAATTTCATTATGATTTTTTCGCAAAACGTTTGGGTAATCTTCGTTCAGACGGCCAGAGCAGCAGATTTATTCGACCAGAAGAAAAAAGATCTGGATGAACCATCTATTCTCACCGTCCAAGCTACAATAGCCTACCCATTGATAAAATTGAACTTTTTAAGGCCATACTTACATTCTATGAATTTGTTTTACGTTTATACGTTCTTTTTATAGATGCAAATATTTAAGTAAAGGCTCTGTTTATAATAAACAGTATTAACAACATTTACCGGCCTGAATGTCCGAGAAATTGTCATAGAAAATATGCGTCCTCCGAAACTGTATCCTATACGGAACCGTCATATAACCTGACGTGCTTTTACCGATTGAGCCACAGAGGAGCGCTTCGGTTAGCAAGGTCGATTTTAAAGTTTTTAAACTACAATTCTCCATGATATTCTCTCATACATATCTGCTCGATGCGTATCCAAATGTAAACAAATGACGTCACACATTATGAAATGGACAAAGTCCGACAATTATTTTAAGATATTTAATACTGTCGGAAAAAATAAACATGTGTCCAGTTGATAATGAATCAAAAAGACAGACACCTGCCCGGTTCCACTGAATCAAAAAGATAGACATGGGTAGTAATGGTTAGGTTCGTTGATTTTACAACATCCCAACACCTGTTGGATTATTTAATGTCGAGTTTTGTATGGGGGACTCTATGAGGACTAAATATCGTTACTTATTACTAATAATCTGTAAGACTATTAACCTTTACACCACGTGGATGCATCCCAACCCAGTGGGTAATAAATTTGTTCTTCACTGAATAATTTCGTTAATCTAAACCAGTGTTGGGAATGCCACGGATAATTTACAATAGACTCTCTCTCTCTCTCTCTCTCTCTCTCTATATATATATATATATATATATATATATATATATATATATATATATATATATACTCGACTCTCCCGTCGAATTCGACGTATGAGGGTCAAGTAGATCAGTTCCTAGGAAACTGACAGCCCGACGCCAGCACGTGAGATTTGATTATAATGGTGAAGGTTTTGTGCAGAACCATCCACACTTTTTGAAGGGCCGAATACAGGGACCTGGTGCACTACGTGCCACAAGGTCCCCAAACGACCCTTCGCAGGTTTTGAATTCAGAGTTGTCCTTCTTCTAGACCAGTTGCCATCCAAGGCTATAGAACCTAGTCTGTCCTGCTATTTACCCATAGCTGGAGAGAGAAGAAGAGGATTTATACCTTTCCCAAGAGTGTTAGCACGTAAGTGAATGTAATGGATTCGACTGGAATTCGAACTCGGCTCTCCAATTCCTCAATCCAAGTCTCTATTCATTACTTCACTGTGCCTCGTCTATATATAGTTAAATGTTAAGTCGGGCTTCAACCAATCGGTATTTTCTGAATTGCTAGTAGATTTCAGCATGAGTGTATCAAGGGCGAGATAAAAAGAAGTAGTCCATCCCTTTTCAGAGCGTTGACCGCAAGCAAAATTTCACATAACGCGTGGTTGGTTGTGGTCTTTTACAAATGGTCGTAAAAGCTTCTCCGCCCTGACCGCTGACTTCTCGGAATACATACATAATGATATCGTGCTATCATCAACCTCACATCGTGGGTTGGGGTCGTTGTCCATGAAGTAGAACGTGGAGCCTAACGTGAGATGAGAGATTAGCAAATAGATGAGGACCAATAGTATTGTCCATCCTACAAAGTGAATGCAGCAGCCAGCATTTATACAATTGAGTGAAGTTTGTATAAGATTGCTTGAAAATTGAGGGAGGTTTTGATTTAAAATGTGTTGAAATCGATTTTTCGTTTTTCACGGTTTTTCGCTAAACGCAGTGGCGTAAGAATAAAAATCAAGTATCGTTGAGCTCGTCATGATGTAAGTAACCTACATAGCGAGTTTGAACGAAACCGGATGAGAAAAGATGAATTTATCGATTTTTGATCGGCTTTATCGATTATTGATTTTTTTTTTAAATATCGATTTTTTGCGCTAAGGATTTATCTCTTACATTGTACAATGTATGTGTGAAGTTTGGTCAAAATCGTTTGGATGGATCTCGAGTGAAAAAGTATCACACAGACAGACATCCTCTGTTTTATATAGAGAGATAATAATAATAATAATAATAATAATAAGCAGAGCCTGTGTAAATTACACGGATTTGCTCATATTTATTAATGCTGGTCTCTTTATCTTCCAATCCATGGCCATTGCCTGATTGTTATAAGAAAAGTGACATAGTCTCTATTAAAAATACTGAAATAATTTCAACAGTTCAAGACCCTATTTAACCCCTCACTACAAACTGACTTTATTTAAGATGACCCCCTCCAATCCCTCTCTGTATCACACATTATTCTCTCTTTTTCTCGCTCTCTCTCTCTCTCTCTTTCTCTCTCACTCTCTCTCCCCCTCACTACCCCCTCTTTCTCACTTTCTCTCTCACTGTCAATCACTCTTTTTCTCTCAATCACTCTCTTTCTCTCACTTACTCACTCTCTCACTCACACTCTCACTGCCTCTCTCTTTTTCTCACTCTCGCGCTCAACTCAGTTTTCGTTCTCTTAGTATGTAACAAAATCGCCAGTATAAGATTTACAAAAAAAACTAGACAGATTTTAATTTCAAAAGGTCACTTGCAGTTCAGGGGCAAATTTGTCCTCAACAGATCTTTAAATTACGGAACGTGATTTAACCTCTCACTGCAATCAACTGCCTTAATCTAAGATGATCCCCTCCAACCCCTCTCTGTGTCGCACTCTCTTTTTCATTCTCTAAGTCTCTCTCTCTCTCTTTTACTCTCTACGTCCCTCTCTCTTTCTCCCTCTCTCTCTTTCTCTCTCTCTCTCTTTCTCTCTCATCTCGGTACCTCACCAAGCGTGACACACACCATACAAAGGTACAAACAAGTATAGTAATATATACACTGCGTTATCTCGATAATAATTTGGCACGCAGTGTAGATGTTATCATTATTATTGTTAGTAGTAGTATTTCTTCTGTTAGGGATCTAACGTAGGGTCCACACGCTAACAGACACTATTGGACCCTATTTTCTGCCTGTGCCTTTGGCTTGATAGTGTGACGGTTACACACCTGGCCCAGTGTCGGATCCTTTGGTTACGGCGCCAACGGTGACGTCGCTCCTCCTGGTCGTTCCTCCTGGGTCCAAGCGTGCCGCTCCAACCCTTTGGTCAGATGATCACCAGCCTCGCCTTTCCCGACTCGCTTCCAACACCTGGTCACTAAAGCAACTATACCGATCTCCGGTCTGTCTACCCACGCTGTGTTTAGATCTTAGACAGACGGGACCAGCAGGGATCGGGGCCGATACAAGTTGAGTCCGACGGGGGTGGCAAAACACAAATAAAATAAAAACTCACGACACCAAACAAAATTGCTGATAAAAAGGGTAACAACCTTTTATATCTTAAAGTCCGTTACATAAAAACAAAATTGTTCTCAATTTCCCGACCCGCTCTGTGGACTATGGCACCAAGCTTCTATCACACAATAGAAAAATGTCGAATTACCTACTTTCTAGGATCATGCATGTATGTCGGAGTGTGGTTCAGTTCGACACTGGGGCTAATTTCTATCGATCATTCGCAGTTGATTCTTCTCTCCGACTTGAGTTGTATTTCTTCTTCTTCGTTTGTTTAGACTGGTAGATTTCTTGTTTCAACCCAGTGGAAGATTTCTTGCTTCGATTCAGTGGAAGATTTCTTGCTTCAATTCGGTGGAAGGATTTCTTGTTTCGAGGATTCTTCTGTCGTCCGAGGGTGAACTGCAACTCACGCCCAACCTAACTCCAACTTCAACTCAACTTCAGCTCCAACTTCAGCTCCAACTTCAGCTCCAACTGATTTCTGCCGACTGGGGTCCTGCTTATATTGACGCCGCAACAAACCGGGGTGGGTCGGTCGGCGTCAGGGGTTTCTCGATAATTTCAAAAGCCGTATTAATTTTGACTTTCCATTATCGTTATTGTTTTCACCCCTACTTTCTCACAGTGCTCTTGGGGGGGCGGCGCATATCTATTTCTCTTAGTCTCTCTCATGTCAGGTGATCGCTCTCAACCAATCGTTCCCGATCGAACCTTTCTTTCTCTTCTTTTCCGCAGCCCACGTGACCGCCTCGTCCAACAGTTATTGATCGAGGTTTTCTTTCCTTCTTCTTCCGCGGTCACGTGATTGTATTCGACCAATTGTTATTGACCGAACACCCTCTCCCTTTTGTTGGCGGGTGTCGTGAGTTTTTATTTTATTTGTGTTTTGCCACCCCCGTCGGACTCAACTTGTATCGGCCCCGATCCCTGCTGGTCCCGTCTGTCTAAGATCTAAACACAGCGTGGGTAGACAGACCGGAGATCGGTATAGTTGCTTTAGTGACCAGGTGTTGGAAGCGAGTCGGGAAAGGCGAGGCTGGTGATCATCTGACCAAAGGGTTGGAGCGGCACGCTTGGACCCAGGAGGAACGACCAGGAGGAGCGACGTCACCGTTGGCGCCGTAACCAAAGGATCCGACACTGGGCCAGGTGTGTAACCGTCACAAGTGGTGCCGTGACCAACGGATCAACCCTGAGACAACCACGTCACATATGGTGCCGTGGTGACCGAGGGATTTCAACCCTGAGAAGACCACGATCGACCGCCGTTGCTGAAAGTTCAAGCAGAAATCAGAACGACCCGGGACCAAAGGAAAAAGAAGGAACAGAATCGTCTGTAAGGTAAGACACCTTGTTTATTTCCCTACCTCGATTGTTGCTCTCTGTAGACATGTCAGATTATGAGTCGGATAGAGCAGTGGGGGTGAAGAAGAAGTAGGGCGGGGGTTGTCAGTAGATTTAAGGGGGCTGTTGGGTGGACCGAGGGTCCCAGTGTTTGATGGTAGTGGGAAGGAGTTCAGGAACTGGCTGACAATCCTCGAGAAGAGCCGAACCATCTACGAGCTCTCGGACCAGGAAACCCTGTACCTGGCATACGATGCCACAAAGGGAAAAGCGTCGAGTTCGTAAGGGGACTCTTGGAAAATCATCCCCGCTTGGCCTGGGAAGAAGTAAAAAACTGCTGACCAAAGAGTTCGCCGACGAGGGTACGACCATAGAGGCCATGAGGGCCCTTTTAAAACTAACACAGCTTCGGGAGGAGACCCCGGGAGAATTAGGGGCCCGAGCGGGAAGGCTATCGTCATTAGCATTCCCCGAGGTGGTCAGGGACAACGCAGTCATGCAGGCCCAACTGGCGGACCTGTATGTGGAAGCTCTGAGTGATGAGCGTGTTCGGCACGACGTCCTGAAAGAGGGACCGCTCAGACTGTCGGCAGCGATAGAGCTGGCCAGAGAGAGAGCCAGGGGTATGGGATAAGGTGAAGAGGTGTGGGAAGAAGCAGATACCAAGTCAAGAGGCTGAAAGAAGGGGGGTAGGCGGAAGAGCCCCGTGGGAATCAGAGGGTTAAGGAAGAGGTGGATCGGGCAGAATTATGGGAGGAGGACCCCAATAGAAGGGCATGGTCGACCAGGCATGGCTTTTTATAAGCCCACGCCGGGTCGATACGGGCTGGTCTGCTGGACCTGTGGGGTACGAGGACCACAGGGCAGCGGAATGTCCGACGAAGTGGGGGTTGCCCCCAGACTTCAATCAGGACAGATGCACCAGGTGTGGTAAGAAAGGACACCTGGCCAAGTGGTGCGGGCTGAAGAAGGGTGCCCCGCCGATATTAACAAAGAAGGCTGAACCCAAGAGACCGGCCCAGGGAAAAGCCAGCGGGCCACCCCAGAATTAAGAGGGAGGGTGGCCCAGTTAAAAAGAAGAGAAATAAAAGCTTGGACCAGTGAACGGGTGAACAGCTTGAATAGAGGACGGGTTCCCCTGAGGATAGACACAAGGCCAACCCAGAGAAAAAGGGAAAGAGCAAAATGTTGGACATGTGGTCGGGCGGGCCACTTTGCGGCAAGCTGTCCAGCAAGAAGGTGCTGGTTTTGCAGGAGGCCAGGACACCTGAAAAGAAACTGTATTCTTAGAAACGGCCATGGGAGACCGGGAGAGGTCCGGCCGGGGTCGCCCAGGTGCAGGGGGCGCAGAACTCCACCTCATGAGAAAAATGAAGGTGATATATTACTACCGGCGCCTATGGCTGGGTTAACCCAAAGGTGGGGACCCAGGAAGAAGAAAGCTCAGGTGTTCTCTTCGCTAACGCAAGAGAGAGAACTATCCTGTAGAGCAGAGATAGGTGGTAGAGAGATGAGGGCTTTGGTGGACACAGGAGCATCTGTGTCATTGATGAGAGAGGAAACATACAGGCGGGTGAAATGGAAGAGAAGGTTACGGGAAGCGGACATAGAGATCACGCAGGCAGATGGAGCCCCCCTGGAGATAAAAGGGATGGTGAGGCTCCCAGAGGATTGGGAGGGTGAAAAGCACCCAAAATTTTACGTAACCCCCCGACCTGTGTACAGAGGCAATCTTGGGAGAAGATTGGCTCCGGAGCCAGAAGGCCCAGATAGAGTTTAATCCTACTGTGTTGGTGGTGAACGGCGAGAGAACGCCATTGGGATGCCCACCAGAGGAAGAGATAACCATAGTGGTGGAGGAAGATGTAAAGTTACCTCCTAGGACCGCAGTGTCGGGAAAGGGTAGGCTAATGTCAGAAAAAAAAAAAGTACGGAGAGGACCTCTGCAGTTGGTCACTGTAGAAGGAAAGGGCCTAGAAGATAACGAGGTAACCCTATGCGAAACGGTAGTGGAGGCAGCCGAGTTGGTGCCCATTATGATGGTGAACCAGGCCCAAAAGACTATCAAGGTTAGGAGAGGGGAGAAGATAGGGAGAGCGCTTCCCCTACGAACTCTGAATCGGGTGAGATTCGAGGAGGAACGAAGGAAGCTAGTAGAGCAAACAAAAGGAATCTTAGATGAGGATATATTAGCACCGGATGAATTTAGAACCAGAGTGGGGGGTCTGTTAAGGAACAATCGAGATGTGGTGGCCCAGTCAGACAAGGAGCTAGGTCAGACCCACACAGTCGAAATGAAAATCGACACCGGAGACCACCCCCCTGTGAAATTAAAACCCTACCGAACACCTATACATAAAAGACCCCTTGTAGAAGAGGCAGTAGAGGAAATGTTGGAAGCTGGGATGATCGAAAGATCGATCTCTCCTGGAGCTTCCCAATAGTAATAGTAGGTAAGAAAGATGGCGGCCACCGTTTCTGTGTAGATTTTAGAAAGCTGAATTCTATATCGAAGCCGTTGGCGGTGCCATTGCCATTGATAGACGACATTTTGGCATTATTAGGGAAGGCAAAGTACTTCTCTACGTTGGACTTGAGGTCCGGGTATTGGCAGGTAGCCCTGGATGAGGCTGACAAGGAGAAGGCCGCATTCGCGTGTCACCTGGGACTGTTTCAGTTCAGAGTGATGCCATTCGGTTTAGCTAATGCCCCGGGAGTCTTCCAACAGCTAATGTCAATAGTGTTAGGAGGATACGAGAGCTTTGCCATGGCGTATTTGGACGATATCTTGATATTTTCGGAGACAGTGGAACAACACTTTTTCATTTAGGACAGGTGTTGGGAAGGTTGAGGAAACACGGATTAAAATTGAAATTGTCAAAGTGTCAGTTTCTGAGGGAAGAAACTAGGTATTTAGGCTTCGTCATAAACGGAGACGGTATTAAACCCGACATGGATAAGGTAAAGGTCATAAGGGAAATGCCAGAGCCTAAGACCGTGAGGCAGGTAAGAGGTTTCATAGGAGCTATAGGCTACTACCGACGCTTCGTCCCGGCATTTTCAAGAATTGCCATACCGCTGGTGGCCCTGACGAAGAAATACGCTAGGTTCAAGTGGACAGAGGACTGTCAACGAGCATTTGATTCGCTAA